ATCCCATTCTCCAAGATCTACTGATTCTTGGATGATCTTAACTATTTCTCTGCCTTTCCTCACCCTTCATCACTGGTGCATGCAGAAACTTCAGGGGACAGGTCCACTGATCTTGACAGAGGAGGAGAAGAGGACTCTGATAGCAGAGGGGTATCCTATCCCTACAAAGCTACCCTTGACAAAAGCAGAGGAAAAAGCACTGAAGAAAATCCGCAGGAAAATAAAAAACAAGGTAACTTTTTTTTTTTTTTTTTAACCTTGTGGCTTTGCTAAATGATTCCCTCATGTGAAAATGCTACAGTAGCTCTATAACAGTGGTCTGTAATGCTGTACAGGATCTCAGATACTGTACTGTTTTGTTACATGAAGATATCTTTCCTTCAACACACTTCTAAACTTACCCATCAGAGACAGCACCCCTCTGTGCCCAGGTACATACTTGGCACAGATCACTGTGTCTTCCTGTCTGAGTGCCACTTATGGTAATGGGACCATAAAGGTGCTAATCTGTGTCTAGCCTGGTTGCTAACTAGTGCATCGAATCACATCAGCCAGCTTTTTAGAAGAAAATGTATCTCTTTTCCTTGTCTAGAGAGAGCCTCTGTGTCCTTTTTACTCAGTGATGAGACTTCCACCTGTTTTGTGCTTCTAAATGCTCCTGTGCATCACAGTGCCCTGCTCTTTATTCCCTGAGATTCTGAAGTTAGAAAGCTGAAATGTCCCAAGTGCCTAGCTATTCTTTTAGCCTAGGGAAGGGCTGGTCTTCAAAACTGACCACTCTGGTTATCTGTGCATAATCTTGCACATCCTTGAGCACTGAGGTACACAGTTGCTTCTATGGCAGATAGGGTGCATGAGTGCACAAGTAAATATAGGAGATGTCGTTGCAGTGTACACATGTGGCTTGGCACGTATTAGAATCATAAAGAAGTGAGCCTGGAAGGAAACTCTCAAGGTCATCTAGTCTAACCCCCAGCCCAAGGCAGGATCGTCCCTCGATAAGTGTCCTTCTTATGCCTGCCCTGGAACCAAGTAAAGCTGAAAGGTTGGTTCTGTAGCTTCCTTTTACTATAAAAATGTTTGTATGGTGCTTTTCCTTCCCTCTTAGATTTCTGCCCAGGAAAGTAGAAGAAAGAAGAAAGAATACATGGACAGCCTGGAAAAAAAGTAAGCCAGCTTCCCTTTCAAACTAACCAATGACACCAGTTGCTGAAATGGGAGGGTATCCTAGCCAGCTGTTGAGTTCATGTAGAATGTGTTTCATATGCCACCTAGTGGTAGTTTAAAAAGAAAGCTTTTTGTCCAGGAAAGGAGACGGGTATTTTTTTTTAGTTCTTCAGATAAAAACATATTTGTGAGACAAATATTTATATGTCAAGACTCAGCTCATTGTGGTGGGTCTTCTCAGTTTACAGTAGCATTGAAGCAGAATATAAGGTGGTAGCAATTCCTAAGTGTAGCTTGTTCCACAGACCTCAGGTTGATTGGCTGTTCTTGGTTTCACTGGGGATGGTATCCTTGTGTCCTAGGGTGTATCTTGAACATAGCACTGGAAAAGCTTTCCTGGGGCATCAAGTCCACTGCCTTGCATTTGCAGACAGTCATTAACCCAAAGAATCCTCAAAAGCATCACTTCAAACCCTCACGCATAATTACAAGGCACATACCCAAAACACCAAGGACACCCTCTAATGTGTCATAACTTAAAGCAGGGGAAACAAGGGCACTCCTAGTGTCCTGCCACTTTAACACTGGCATTTTCCAGCATTTGTATTCTACATGGCTACATTGCAGGATTATCTTGTTCAGTAGGCAGGCTTGGGCAGCTGGCCTCCTCATGAGCAACTTCCTTGTCTTCCAGTGGTATGATGAGCAGATGAGAGGTAAAAGGAGTTGAGGACTGCTTGGGGGAGTGAGGAGGAGGTGGGGAAAAAAGCATGGGAATAGCCAGTCTCCTTCAAAAAGGACAATACAAATTCTTCTAGTGAATTTGGCCCCCAAAATTACTGTGCTGAAGTGCCAAAACTCTCTTCTTATTTCTTCCTTGCACCCTGTGCCAAAGAAGACTGTACATCCTACACTTGAGAGGTATATTTTTTAGTATGATCCATAGCTTATTTTAGTATCCATTATCCAGTTTTCCATTGCAAAAAGAGATTTTTCTGGGTAACTTTTAGTCATGAGACTACATAGTGGGACGGACCTAGGAAGCTCATCTGAACAGATTGTCTGATGTTCTGTCTCTGCCAAGAAAGAATCAGTGCAACTGATGTGGATTGAACTGTGCTGACCTCAAAACCTTAGTCCAGGCTGGTGCAGCCTTTAGTTGCTAAATGTCAGGTGTAACTATTACAAGGCCTTTTATATCTGGTGTGAAGTCAAAACATTGAAACAGAAGTTTGTAGCAGTGCTTTTCCCCCTAATATAGACAGGTCCATAGAGTTGTCCAGGAAAATCAAGTTGGAACATGTTCAGCTCTTCATCACAGTGTCTAAGTGTGACTTTTTTTTCTTCTCCTTATGTCTTCCCCAGGGTTGAGTCCTGTTCCAATGAAAACAGTGAGCTGCGTAAGAAAGTGGAAGTCCTAGAGAACACAAACAGGTAGGGGAAAGAAAGAAAAACCACTGGACTATTTTCCAAAGGAAAGGTGGGAAATCTGGAAAATATGGGACCAAACAGAGCTTTGGATGACAGATCTGGCTGATTTGGTTATTGACAAAAAAGAAAGAGGAAGCAAAACTCCATATGGTGACTTCCTGTTCAGTATTAAATTAGATGTCTGGATGTGATGCTTCAGGCCAGGTTCTCCTTCCAGGCTGTTGTGAGTTGGGATTGCTTTGTGTCAGTTTTCAGTAACTCTGTCAGTGACAGAAGAAGTCTCAAGGCCCCTGCTACTCTTAGGAGGGGAGAGGTCCTACTCTGGAACATAAACCTGCAGAGGAGCTCTGAGGCCCTAGGTTAGGAGCCTTTCCTCATTCTTCTGGGATTACTGTTTATCGTTAGAACTGGTGCCCTCCATCATCGGAGAACTTGCATCAGTTTAGACATGCAGTTTTCTTTCAGAGAGAACCAGTTTTTTACCTCTTCCCCCTACTTAAGTACTTGATTTAAAGTAGGTGAATCAAATGTGGCTTTCTCAAAGGGCAACCATTTCACAGTTGAGCTCTGAGTGGGAGGCTAGCTGAAAGAGATGACTGTTCCTTCATGATCCAAGGGCTACAGACTTGAGCTCCTCATGTTTTTTTTGATGGTAGCAAATTCTACTGAACTTGCGTGTCCCTTTTGAGCTTGTCCTAGATGAGCCTGATGCAAATACCTACATAGATATGTCCCTGTGGTGTTGCTGCGGAATGCAGCAGTGTCATTGAAGCATGAAAAGTGGCTTTTGCTGCAGTAGCTGGGGTTTAAAGATAAGGACCAAGAACTTGACATGGGCGTAGGATTTGTCTGGCAGCCAGAGTATTGCTAGTTGAGTGGCACGTGCTGTTTCTAATCTCTGGATCCAATCTCTAATTTCATGGAAACAGCCCCTGTATCACTGTAATTTGCTGGAGAACATCTCCCACACACCACTTGTGCATACAGACATCTGCTGCTTGTATGAAGAGAACCAGGCCATCTCTCCCACTCCTTTGCCTGTCACCCTGCTCTGCCTTGCATGTCAGTAGGAATTGCTGCATAGGATCAGACTAGGTCCAGCTATGGCAAAAAACAATGAAGTGAGCAGTTCTGGACTAACCTACCAATAGCAACACACGGAAAATTATCTTGCTTCATAGCCCTTGTCTGCACTGACAACCTTGGTTTACATGAATTTACTCTTACTCATGCCTTACCCCCACCCCCCCTGCAAAAAAGACTTGTAATTTTTCTCCCACTCTTACTGTTTTGTGTACTAATGAAAAGTGACATTATTTTGAATAAACCTCTAAGCAGGAAATTTTAACGTCTTAATTCTCTGATGCTCTACTATGAGGTGTTATCCCTAAATATTTTACATGTCATATACGTAGAATTAGTTTTGTAGTTTTCATTCATCAGGCTTGTCTTTGGGTGTTGGTCTTAATGTTTTTTCTCATTTGTTCCACTTCCTTTTGGAAAGTAAGTTTTACCTCCCAGCACTAAGTTGGTCTTCAATGATCACTGCCTCATTCAATGAATAGTTAGCAATATGAGAGAGAGATATGAATATATATATATATTTAATGAATAGGTAGCAATACAAGATGTATATCATCTTCCTCCTTCAGTATGGCCCAGACTTTTAATGCAACAGTCCTCGACCTTCTTAGCCTTAAGCCACCCCTTGTTAGATTCAGGGCAGTCCTTGGAAAATGCCAGCTCTTTGTTTTCGCTCATTTTTTGACTATAGAAAAACTGAGTAACTCTTCCGTTGCAAAAAACTCAAAGACCAGAACAGGGCAAATCGTTTTGGGAACTATAGATAGGGACATATGCAAATCAAGGATGCAGGCGGCTAATTTTGCAGGCACATCGCGGGGCTGGCCCACAGATTGGTAGATGGCCCCAAATCATGGCTTAATTACCCTGATTAAGCCCACAGAAGCCATTAATGGAAACATTAAGCAATCTAAGCATTGAATTAAACTGTAAACTGAAATGTCGTATGAAATTAAAGCTATGCACAATATGAATTCTAACTAATACCATCACTATACTTTTATTAAATCACATTGTAAAAAGCAGTTTAATCGATGCCAACCTTGAGACAGGCAGTCCATGCTAGCTGTTAAATGCTAACATGCAACATCCAGTAGCAGTTGCTACTGACATTCTCTGTCTCTGGGGTGAACAGTTGTCTGTATACTGAGATGGCACACTAAGCACTGAGTTGGTTGGAATGGTGAGGCAGCATTTTGCCAGGGTGTACAGATGTGAAAACCAGTCACAAATAGAGTCCCAAAACACAGATACAGGCATTTGGCACTCTTTGACAAAGTTCATGTAAACAGCACGTTTCTTGTCATGCTCTTTCTGGCATCCAGGGACTGATCTCAGTAGCTGAGGTTCACAACTCAGAACAGGCACCTGGTTGGGGTCCAAAATGCAAACAGCAGTAAGGAAGGAGGTTATCTAAACTGCAGTGACAGTACCTGTAGTATTGGTTTAGCTTTACAGCTATTGCCTGGGACAGGTCCCTTTTCCACTGGTTTTCATGATGAAAGCTTGACAGTTTTTTATAATGCCATGTCTTTGACCCAACTTATCAAATCCATCTGTTTGTTTGTGTATGTGGTGGATCACAGCCTGCTAGCTTTCAAATAACATTAGAAGCTTCATGAACCTCATGGCATTTTCTGCCACTAACTTCACTTGATCTTGAACATCTCTTTGTTCCAGGAGATTGCAAAGCTTAAGCATGCACTGTGTGCCGGATGTGATTTCCAGCTCCTTGCTCACAAACTGCTGGTAGTACTGCATATGCTTGGCATGGTAATGGACCACACTAAATCATGAATTCCACCTTGTGAGCACAGGCTATGGTAGCAGCAACAAAGCTGCCTGTGAGTCCTTACTTTGACTAGTGAGGGATTCACTGTACTGGAGCTTGCGGCCTGGACAGTGCTTGAAGGCTTTCTTGAAGGTGAACGCCAGGCTATCCGTATTGGGGAACTGCATACACCAGATGTCACTTACTAAAGACAGAATGTGTTCATTGTAGGTGATGTGACCTGCATTGAGCAGCATTGCTTTGAGTGCATGTACATGGATGGCATTTTCGGACAGAAACGCTGAGTTCTTGTTAAAGTCTAAGCCATAATTGACCATTGCCTTCACTGCAGCCTGAGTCACAGTAGAAAAATTGACAGACGTGAGACGCAGACTGGCTCTGTTTGAAAAACAGTCAAGTCCTGGTTTGTCCAGCTCCCAGGTACAAATAAATTGTGCCAACACAGTTATCTCAAGGGTCAGTAGCTTGATTGACCACAATGGAGAAGGATTCATACTCTGCCGATGCAGACTTTGTGGACTGTTCATGTGAAGCAGTTACCGTAGGGAGATAGTCTTGGCGAAACTTGTTCACCCACAGAAACTTGGCAGCATTTGGCACACTTTGGTTCAGTCCCTTACGGTGATCAAGTTTCTCCAATGGGATGTTCACCACTGCGAAAGCCTTCATGAGGGAAAATGCCATCACTCATCTTGTCATGCTGCTTTCCACGGTTTTTGTAAGGTAGGACGTGGTTGCTTGTTTCTTGCTCTGACCTTCAGCCTCTGCCTTTCTCTTCATGTGCACCTTGGACTCTTAAGTGTTGCTCTATACTAGTTTTCCTCAACACACCCAGAGTCATTGCAGGTGGTACAGAACCATCACCTCCATCTGTTTAAAGTCCTTGCAATATACTGCCTAATGCAGTCCAGAGCTGAAACATATTTGGCGTTCTTGGAGGTTTTCTTATCACTGTTCATCCCTGCTCAGTCCTCCTCGGGATGCTGCTGCACCAACATGCCTCCAGCTGCTTTAAAGATGGTACCAAAACCCTGCCGCTTCCCTAACTGACCCCAGACTGGTGCCTGTACTGAGTCTATGTTACAGGCTCAGCCTTTCATTTTCTCCACCCCCTTCACTCCAGTGTTTCACGACTACAGGGTTTCCCAGCCTTTTCTCTGCTTATGAGTATGTTGCATCCCCCTGCCCCTCCCCCAACCCTGCAGCAAGCCCACCAAAACCATGGAGCCTGCTGTTTTTGCAGAAAACATCTGATCTCACGTTTTCTGTGAAAAATACAAAATCATGAGTTCGGTAGGTCCCTAACTATAGATTCCTATTTGAGCCCTCTGGCTTCATCTTGTGAATCATGACTGCACAGGGTGCCAGGGTGCCCTGGTTGAGAAGTACTTATTTAATGCATGCTGTCCAAACTCCACTACGAAGGCAAAATTATCAAGTTCTTCATCGGCACTTATGTGGTGTCTCACTGCAGTACCCAAATGCTTCTCCAAAATTTATGAACGTGCTTCGCAAACCTTATGAGGCAAGTTGGTAGATCTGAGGCATAGAGGAAGTAGTAGAGACTTTTGATGATTTTGGCCTTAAACTTGGGTGCTCAAAGTATTTAGGACTTGTATTGCCTTTCTTATTTTTTCCAAGCAGAGCTCCAGGCCTCTGCAACTACATGGGAGTGTTAAGCACTTCTTTAGATTTGACCCCAGGCATCTCACGATAGTAGCATATGAGGAACGTATACAGTTTGGTAGCCAACTGTGAAAAATGACTGTTCCAATTACTTGTTTTTCATCTCTTAAGAGTTTGGTGGCAGAGCAAGTATAGCAGTATTTGTTCTCTGGTTTGAGGAAGTGTTTGTTCTCTGGTGTGACAATCAACCATAGGATGTTTCTTTCTCTTGTTTATTCTGTATATTCTTCCCTCTATCATTAATAGGCTCCCTGCCTCACTTGATGCAGCCTACTTCAGTAAACAACCTTGATTTACTCCCACAGCAAGTCCAGGTCTCTGAATGAGGCAGAAGTCCTAGGGAGAAAAAAACATGTGATCATGTAATTAAGGCCTTCATGCCAAGGTATGCGCACCAGGGAGGTCAAATCATGGTTATGAGGGTTACTTTAATCCTGTCGTT